AACTTAGCTCACGTGTTTGTGGTGATGCTGGTATAAATAAACCACTGTGCTGCCATTATGTAAAAGTCTAGCATATACAGAGCATAATTTTATGATTTTACAATGATTGAGAAATGTTTGGAAAATACAGAAAAAGTATGTAGAAGAAAACAGTAACAGTCATTTTATACCCCAGTGCCAATAAATATTCAAGTTTTTTCTATGCAGCCAGATGGACACATACAGGGAACAGACAGGTAACAGATAGATGGGGGTCTGAGTATATAGTATGGATGTTCCATAATTGAAATATACTGTACATGTGCGCTTTTTTGCTTAAAGTTTTATCATTTTTCACGTGATAAAAAATCTTTGTGTCAAACAATTCTATATAAGTCTATCATTCTTTGTTTTTGCTTTTCTTTTCCTTTTTTTTTTTTTGAGTCAGGGTCTCACTCTATCACCCAGGCTGGAGTACAGTGGCGTGATCACAGCTCACCACGATCTCCTGGGCTCATGCAATCCTTCCGCTTCAGTCTTCCAACAGACTACAGATGCCATCATGCCCGGCTAGTTTTTTTTCCAATTTTTTTTGTAGAGACGAAGTCTTGCTATTTTGCCTAGACAGGTCTCAAACTTCTGGGCTCAAGCAATCCTCCTACCTCGGCATCCTGAAGTGCTGGAATTACAGGTGTGAGCCACTGTGCCGGGCCATAATTCTATCATTCTTTTTTTTTGAGTTGGAGTCTCACTCTGTCACCCAGATTGGAGTGTAGTGGCACACTGACGGCCTCCATAGCCTCAACCTACTGGACTCAGGCAATCCTTCCGCCTCAGCATTCGAAGTAGCTGGAACTACAGGCACACGCCACCATGCCCGGCTAATTTTTTTGATTTATTGTAGAGATCAATCTCACCAAGTTGCCCAGGTTGGTTGAACCCGTTGGCTCAGGCAATTTTCTCACCTCGGCCTCCCAAAGTGCTGGGATTATAGGTGTGAACCACTGTGAGTGGCCAATTCTACCATACTTAATAAATAAGAGTACAGAAAAAGCATAGCTAGCCTAACAGGGGTCACTTGATGTTTCTCCTGAATTCTTAAATAAGCAAAAGGAAGCATTTTGTATATGTACCAATAAATGTATTTCGTATTTTCTACCACCTGCACTACTCTGTTCATCCCACAGAGATCATGTTTCTGCCTCTGGAAAATTTGATGCCATAGAACTTGAAATATAATTAATCACATGATTTTCCGGCAGTTCATTCTGACCAACCAAGCGGTCAGTTGTAAACCTGTATACCCAGCACCTGGTTAGTTGAGGGGACATTTGCTGCTGCCCCTCCTCGGACATGGGACACATCCGCAGGCAGCAGTGGAGTCAGCAGCTGCTGAGACCCCCCTCTGGGCCTGCTTGCTGTGGGTTTCTCTGCCCGTGGCAGTTGTTGATGGAGGGCAGCAGGTCTCAGCGGGCGGGGATTTTGATCGCAGTGTCTGAGGCGTTTTGATTGTCACAGCTGTGGGGGGAGGTTCCACTGGCATCTAGTGGTTAGCCAGGGATTTGGTCAAATACCTTACGAAGCATCAGACAGGGCTCTGCAACAAAGAATTATCAGACTCCAAATGTCAGCTGTGCTGCGGTTGCGTTGAGGCTTGCGTATGCTATTACTGGGTGGGTACTGGGCCCAGACCAAGGCCGTGGAGGCCTTTGAGCGTCCATTCTAGGCCTGGCTTTAGGAGTCTCAAGGACTTTGTGTCAAGAGACATGGCCTCTAGTGGCAAAGAATAAGAAATAAGAAAAAGACAAGATGTAAATAAATAAAGGAAATTCACAAGATTTCCCTTACTACACCAGCTGTACTTTGGAGTTTGTTGTTGATGTTGTTGTTGTTGATATCCCTGAGTGGAAAAAGCAAGGAATACCCTCAGCATGGCACAGAAAGAGCTCTTATTTGAAAGAAAGACAGAAGCCAGGGAGGGCCCAAGGTCTGGATGTGCCATTGCCTTTGGACCTGTCCTGTCACTAAGGTCTTGCGTTTGCGACACTTGCGAGTACTCTGTACCCCTTCCCATTCTGCTACAAAATATTGCCTGACAAGGTATGAATTTAACTTTGAGAGTTACTGATTTGCTGATTGAACCAAGGTTATGGAGGGAGGCATTGAGCTTTTTTTTTTTTTTTTTTTTTTTTTGCATTAGATAAAGGGACATTTATTTCTAACAGAGGAAATGACTGTGTTAACTACTCTAATGCCTTCCTCTACAGTTGGGAAGCTTGCTATGATTAGAGAGCACTAATTATGGCTGGGACCTGGTACAGCAGAGGAAAGACATAAAACATAACTGTAGTGGGTGGAGGGTGTAAATTGCATAGTGTCTTAGGGTCACTGTGGGAACCTGTCCTGGAATTTCTTGTGGATTTGTCAAGTCATGGTGATCCACAAAAGTTGGGACACAGTATAGAATAGCCATACAGAGTCTGACAAAGTCAAGTTCATAAAAGCAGAGAGTAGAATGGAATAAGTTTTAGAGATCTATTGTACAGTAGGTGAGTTAGTTAATAACAATTGTGGTGTTTTCTTGAAAATCACTAAGAGAGCAGATTTTAAGTGTTCTCATAAAACATACTACACAAAATAATAAGTATGTAAGGTAATGCATATGTTAATTAGCTCCTTTCAGCTATTCCAAAATGTATACATGGTTTAAAACAGTGTGTTGCACCTCATAAGTATATACCATTTTGATATATCAATTAAAAATGAAATTAAAAAATAAAATAAAATAAACACACTCCATATCATAGTTTATCCATAGATGATGTGCTACCTTAAAATTCAGTGCTTCTGTTGAGAATGGATCTAGAATAGTACAGAACACCCTTTACTAAAAAACAAAAGAGTCTGACATAGGAGCCCCACTGCCTGGGCCCCACGAAACTTCAACGCTGCCAAGTCTTCCAGACCATAAGTGTGGTACTTACCTGCTGTGCTCCTCAGTTTCCTCTTCTGTAAAATGAGTATGAAAATAAACTGCATAGAGTGTTGTGTATTGTAACCGCATTAATATGCACAAAGCACTTAGAAGGAATCCCTCAATCACTGTTAGCCACTACTTAATTGTTTTTGTTACATTTTTAGCTCTCAGATGTCAGGGACATTAAAAAAATAAATAAGATAAATCATGTTTCAGAAGGAAAGATAACCATGGTGTCATCTGATTTCTGTTTTGCTCTGACCAATTCTATAATAAATGAAAGGTGTTAGTGCAAATGGTGGTTGTCATTCTTACTAAGAACTAAACACAGTTGCCAAAAGAAACATGATTTGGTCATAGAATGGAGTGACTTGAAGTTATTGCTAAAGCAAAATTAATCCTTGTCTCTTTGTCTCTCATAGATAAAAGCCCAGAGAAGCTTTCTAGCTTTTCTCTTAAAAATGGCATTCACAAACTTACAGAACAGTTGTTCTTTAATTTACACTTTGATTCAGTGGAACTTTGTTAGACCAAAAATAACCAAATCCCAGAGAGTCCTGGAAACATGCATGATTGTAAAATGTCAAGGATTCTAAATTGGGCATTTGGAAGACAAAGATGAAGGCTCACAGTTCAAATATAGTACTAAAAACTCTGGCATTCCCGTGAAAAAGACAGTTAGTTTGTATCAAATAGTGGGATTTGTTTCTTAGATAATAATATAATGAGTTAACTTGTGGTATGAGATCCAACTTGTAACAGGCTTATTAAATTAAGCAATAAAGTTACATTTCTTTGAACAACCTATTGTCAAAATCTTTACAGCGAACTTCATTTACAATGAAATTAAACAAAGGAGTTATGTTTTTAAAAGTAAGATGTGACTTTTCTCTATTTTGGGAGGGGTTGAAAATGCCATGTCAGTGGATCTGGCTATGATCAAACCTCTTAATCCTGTTTTAATTATGGGTTCTTTGCTTCTTCTGATTTTTTGGTTATATGTGACTGACATTCAGACAGTCATAGTAATTTTTTAAATATGTAATTTTACATAAGAGTCCCTTCAAAGTGACCTTAAGATGAGTCTCTCTTGACATAATTATAGAGAGGAAGGAACCACCGACCTTGCATGAGTTGATGGTTTCCAGGGACAGCTTATTTTCAGATTTTCCAGTTAAACTCTGTGGCAGAGTGTCATGTTTCTGTGAGCTCTGGAGGAATGCAGATGGCACACCTACAGAGGCCAGCACATGGACGTCACTGGTTCGTTCCTTTTGCTGTGTATTTGAAAACATTGGGATCAGATATGGTTAACCACAAATGTCTCCCCAGAGACCTGAACCCTAAATATGCCTTTGCCACCATACTCTGTTTTTCCGGAGAGTAGTGTGGTAGTGGCTAGGCGTCATTTGTCAAATATGACATGAATATTTATTATGCATAATCATTTTTGTTTAGGTTCAAAAATCAAATGGCAATGAGTTATAAACCTAAAGATGCAGACTTAAAGCATGAGTTTTGACAAAGTGAAGTTTAATTCAATGATATCCAGTAAATCACGTTTCTGTAACTCTAAGGTGACATTTTATTTTTTCAGTACTCCATGTCTTATTGACAGTCTTTACCAGTAGCACTGCTGCCATAGTAAATGATATGTTTTAAATTATATGAGCCTATTTCCTTGAAATTTTAAAATGCTTCCATACCAAGCTCTGTTTCTTTATCTGTGAAAGGAAGACACTGAGACTGCCCTATCTCTGAGATCTCTTCTGATACCCTAAACCTGATGGTCACCTCTGTAATTATGGAGAATGTTTTGCTGACTTTCCAAATGCTTGTGGGATGCGTCATATTGTGTAGCTCTGACTTGCCAGAGCTCTCTGTTGACCATGGCCTGATACTGCTACCTAAGAACTTTCCCCACTTCATGGATTGGTTGGTGGCCTGCCAGGACCAGGTCACAGCTGTGGCACAGTGTGGCCATCTAAGGGTGTACAATACTCACCTGCTTTCTTCTCTCATCTGTTCTTATGCATACCGACAGAAAGGAGAACCCGACTGCTGCGCGCTCTCCCTGGAGACCACCGAGCAGCTCACCTTCGAGATCCCTTTGAATGACTCCGGTTCTGCTGGCCTTGGGGTGAGCTTAAAAGGGAACAAGTCCCGAGAAACTGGAACAGACCTTGGGATTTTTATCAAATCTGTCATCCACGGAGGTGCTGCTTTCAAGGTGGGTAGGAAGGACGTCTCTGCAAGAGTGAGGAGGAATGTAAGATGGGATGGTGGGGCAGGGGATGGGTGGCAGGAGTGTCTGGAGACCGAGACCTCCAAAGCCCTCCTGCTAAACGCTGGAAGTGCGTGGGAACAGATCTGGGAAGCACTTGGGTGTTTTCAGATGGTAAGTGGTTTTTACTGCTTAGAGGGAGTTCTGAGAGCCCATAATGATTACATTTTTTTTGCATTCTTTTTTATTATTCCATTAGGATCCCTCTGAATTTGTAACCTGACAGAGTTGAGCCTAAAAATACACAATCAGAAAAACAAAACTAAAAACAAATAAACATCAAGGCAGCAAATAAGACAACTGTGCTTGCAAGAATGAAACTCAGTGCAGCCCAAGAGTGATTGTGTTATAAATTAAAGGTCATTTATCACAGCTTATACACTTGAAGATAACCACGGTACCAGAATGCATATTTGCTTTTGAGCACTTGGAGAAGTGTGTATGTTTCCGGAAAAAAAGGGAGGACCATGTTTCTCTCCTTTTTCCTGGGGACGGGCGATGTGTTAGTAGCTGTTAGCACCATGCAGCTATTAGCTAGGCAGCCTGTGTGCAAGTCCAGCTCACCATGTGCTGGCAACAAGGAGATGTGGGTATGAGATTTGATGGCCTGTCTCCTACTTCCTCATCTGTAGAATGGGGATAATGAATAACACTCCTTCAGAGGTGTCAAGTACTAAACCAATGAATTTACACAGTATGATAGCAGCAGAAAGGGATTACAGAGCAGGTGCATCCCCTCTGGTTCCTGTTGCCATCATCACTGTCATCTCATACACACAAAGAGACATCTTGGGTTTGAATTCTGCCTTAGCTACTTTCTCCCTCTGTGAACATAGGAAGCTATGCATATTCAATAAGCCTCAGTTTCCTCATTTTATAAATGAGGAAGCTGAGTAAGTGCCACCTCCTCATGCTCCTGCTAAGACTAAAAGAGCTGATGGAAAATGCTCAGCACGGCACCTGTTATCAACTTCCAGGACACATCAATCATTTAAATAATCTTGGTATTAGTTATGTGGGCCTGCTCCCCCGGCCAAAGCCAAGAAGGCCTAGTAGCTCCGCAAGAATGCCCCTGAACCTAGAATTTGGACCTTATAGAAGCCTTTGTCCTCTGCTCTTACCCTTTCACTTCTATTTCAGACCTAGATATTGAGCTAATGTCTTTTCCTTGGAGAATAAGAAAATGCATTTTGGATGGCCAACTCTTTCATTCATTCAGTTTGCTTTTGTTGCGTAATAAATAGTCACAGAATGCCAGTATGATGCATTCATAAACCTTTAGTTCTCGTGTGGCTCTGCACAGGGCAGCAGGGGCGGGGCAACTCTGACTCAGACAGGTGTCCTTATCCCATTTCCCTCTCCTGCCATGAGGTGTCAGTGGCCAATAGCTACAGGTGACTTCTTTTCATGTCTGGGATCTAAGCTGACTCGCTGTCACTTCACGCATAGGCCACGGACCAAAGCAAGTCATACAACAGAGTCCAAGGTCAAGCAGTAGAAAAACAGTCTACCCGCACTGAAGTTACAGCAACATGTAGGTGCAGAAAGCATGAAGGACTAAGGCCCGTTGTCTAATCTACAAACTCCTTAACCCACCTCAGAAACACAGAGCCAGTAGCAAAAGGGAAATAATAGTAATAACAATAATAACAGCAATTGGCATTTCTTGTACTTAGTCTATGCTGGACATTATGATAAGTGTTTTATGTGGATTCTCAACTTATGTAGATTCTTCACATTCACACTGGATTCTTTTCATGCCATTTTATCAAAGGGGAAAGCACAGATTCGTGTGTTTATTTTTATTTTATTTTAAAGATGTGGGGTACAATTCAGGATTAGGTATACAAATATTCATTATGCAGGTACCCTTGTTGATGAGCTGTACCCCTCCCTCCTCTGGCAGTTTCCCTCAACTGCCAATCCCTTCCTCTCTCCCCTGGCAGTTTCCCACTACTGCCATCCCTTTCCTATAGTATGATAATTGTTCAAGGTCCACTTATGACTGAGAACATATGGTACTCTGTTCTTTGTCTCTGTGATAGATCACTGAGTATGATAGAGTCTAAATCCATCCAAGTTGCTGCGAAGTCCCTATGTTTGTCCTTCTTTGTGGCTGCATAATATTCCATTGTGTATATGTACCACGTTTTTAAAATCCACTCCAACTTCGATGGGCAGCATAGTTGATTCCATGTTTTTGCTATCGTGAATAGAGCTGCCACAAACATGCTGTGTGCTGGTATCTTTTTTGTAGAATGATTTGAGTTCCTCTCAGTATACTCCCAATAGGGGAATTGTGGGGTCATATGGAAGGTCAATCTCTAGTTCTTTCAGAAATCACCACATTGTCTTCGAAAGAGACCGCACTAGTTTGCAAGACTCATGTGTTTAGTGCCTTCTTGTGGTCACATAGCCAGGAATGGCCTCAACTATCACATGAATCCAGGCAACCCGCTTCCAGAGCCCATGCTGCTCCTCACTGAGATGAAGCCTCTCTTCACGCTATCTCTTCCTGGTCCTAGACAGCAGGGCCCATGACCTTGCGGTATCTTGTACCATACTGTCACCCTTTGCCAAGCCATCTAAATGTGTGCCATGTTTGAGGATGAATCCCTGGTCGTGTTTGTAATACCAACTTGAAATTATTCTTTTCATTCTCAATGACAGCTCTATTTGCAGAATTTATTCCAAGTAAAATTGAAACTGAGATGACTTTTTGGAAATTAAAAACAAGCATCTTAGCTTATTTATGGGCTGTTTCTTCAGCTCCGGCAGATATTGCCAAGCAGGTTTAATATGTGAATGGTGTTTATGTAAGTGAGTGTCTCCTTACCTAAGCAGTTTCTGACAGTCCTGTTTCTTGAGGAAGGATTTCACTTTCCGTGTATGTAAATTTCTTTCCTGACACTGTTCTGCTGAGTCAGACAATCACCCCACTTCACATTGCTGGACAGTGCAGTTATAGCTGATCTTTAGCAGTGAGAGGCCTCTGTCAGGAATTTAGCCTTGATGCAGATGCTTAGTACCCACTTGTCTTGGTTACATTCTGTAGTGTGAGGGGCAGAGATCTGAGCTTCACTCACAAGAAATCTGATTAACCAAAAAAAACAAAAGTATTTTTCTGTTCTCCTTCCGCTGTCCCAATGATCTATTGTTACTGCTCAGAAAACTGCCACCTGTTCTAGGATTCAGGATTACATCTTACAAAAATTGTTTTGCGACTTTATTCCTGTCCCTGAAGGGATGCAAATGTAACAGCCAACCCTGTCCCTTGGGCGGTGGTGAGATAAGCCCGGGAACATCCACCTTCGCATCTGGCCATAGGTTTCTACCCGAAATCAACAAAGTAATCTTTTAACCAGAGCACAGGCTTTTGCTCCCAGCCTTCGTGCCACTAATTAGTTCTCAAGGTGTTTTTCCCTTTAGGGAAGAAGGATCTTTTTTTTTTTTTCTTTTTTTGAAAATGAAACTACTTTGAAAAGTATGACCAAATTCTTCCTGTGGATTCTGTGTGCTGTATTCTCTGGAGGCTTCCATTGGTATAAACAAAGATAGGCTACTTCTTGCCAGATATGAAGTCCCAAATGACTATGGCTCTAACTGAGCACCCCCCCCTTTTTTCTTAGCTCTCAGTCTACTGCTTTCATGGTACCATCTTTTGTTTTCATTATCTTCAAGAATGAGAGGTCACTCTCCACTTGAAAATACGAGCACCCAGCTCCTCCAGGATGCCCTCTTGGAAGTGTGCCCCTGCCTCACTCTAGGGACAAACTAAACGATATTTTACCTCACTCAGAATTGTCCAAATGCTTAATGACGTCTTGATATTTTCTAGTCAGGTCTGTACTGAGAAATCATACCCAGAATCCCTTCCTCCACCTATATCAGCCACAGCTCTTGGGATTGCAGGCTGCTCATTGCCCAGAGACCCCCGTAGTCCCCCCTTGAAGCACAACCTTAGCTGCGCCTCCTCTCGCATAGTCCAGGTGGCCGGCCACCATGACACAGATCACTGCCTCTTAGTATCCTATGCTTGGATGCGTAAACACCAGCATACCTTATATGTCCATGGTTTCATTTTAGCTTCTGTCATTCTTCCTGGGCATTTGCCTCTGATGTGTAGTGTATTAGAAATAAAATATACTAGATACAAGTATACATGTCAACTTTTCCTGAGACAGGAACTGTGACTGGAATGTCGTGATGATGATGTCCATGAGAATGACCTTCTAAAATTTTGCTTTTATGAATGGAATTAAAAGTAAATGGGGTAGTGTGTTGCTGGTAAATAAGAAGAAATATCTCTGTTGCAGTTAGAAAAGAATGCCTTGACAAAGATATTCCCCTTTCCCAAAATCGACCTAAGTATTCCCTTTTGAGCTTTCCCAGGGAAGCACAAATCAAGTCTCCATGGTCAGCTTGAAGACATTAGATATTTTTATGTTCATTTGCTGAACTTTTTTTTTTTTTTTTTGAGAAAGCAGGATTTATTGAGAGGACAGAAAAGCTCCCAAAGCAGGAGGGACCCCAAAGGAGTTGGCCGCTGAACATTTTAATATGTTTGACTTGATATCTAGTGGCTTTTCTCTGCTTGGCTTTTGATGTACTATATTAGCTGAAAATTATTTTTTAGCAAAAATTCAGTTTTCTATCTATTGACTATACTCAATCTGCTGGTTATCCTACCTTAAAGAATCACTTTTAGGAAAAATATTTAACTAGATTAGTAGTCTTTTTTAAAAGTTAGGTAAGCTATTAACACACTGTAGTAAGAATAAAAGTCCCATGGGGTCTGTTGTACTAGTCATGAGTGACATTTTTTATTTGAATTCTCTGACTTCAAGAGTGGAATGTATCCTGTTGAAACTTTGAAATAATAAGGTAAAAACTAAAACTTAAAGATGTCATATATCAGGTGGATTGTTTACAGTCTCCTAAATGGA